TTTAGGGCTTTAGGGTTTAAGGTTAGGCTTTAAGGTTTAGGGCTTTAGGGTTTAAGGCTTAGTTGCGGGGTACACGATGCCATCCAAAGTGCTGAAACAACAAGCGTAGTTACAAGACAAGACAGGACAGGATAGACTGACAGGTAGCGCGGGTGGAGAAAGCTGTTCATGTTAACCCTCTGCTCTGGGGTGCACTACTGAGCCAAACATTGCAACTGTCAACCTATTGTGCACACGGTATGTCACAGTCCCGTAGCACTTGCACCTTTAACGTTGAAGCCTACACTGACACCTTGTACACTGTACACCTGGACATGCTGAACATCAGCACCCCTGAATCCTAAACCTCGAAATGTTGAACTCCCAAAGCCTTAGCCTCACACCCCCTAAACTCGAGCCCAGAAACCCACTTCTCTCTACCTGGTTAGGGATGTGGAGCAGGCCTTCGCTTGCTGGTGCCTGCAAAGGATGCCTCTCGCCGTCGCGTGGGCGATCCTGAGGGCAGGCGGCATGTCTAGCCTAGCACAGTATGGCACAGTATAGTGTAGTATCATAGCGTATAGTATAGTACCACACGGTATGGTACGGTATAGTATAGTATCACATCGTATAGCATAGTACCGCACAGTACAACACAAGAAGTAATTATAGAGTGTTCGAGCTTCGACTCTGGCAGTGTGGCCCCGGACAACCTAAGAGTCTCAGGTTACCCCCTCAGCCTCCCATGCCAAGCGCCCAACACTGCCCGAAAAAAAAGTTCAGGGTGAAGGAGTGGAGCATGAGATCTGCGGTCTTCATGGTGACGGACATGTCTACGTAGCTAGGACGTAAGTATGGGGCTTAAGGCTTTGTGGTTTCGCCAATCGACTTCTGGGCTTTCCCTTCTCGAAGTATCCTAAACTCCGATGCTCTGACACACAGTGGACAGGTAGTCGGGCCTGGTTCGGAGAAGCGCATGAATCTAAATGCTCGGAGCAACAAAGTTAAGGGAAGTTCCAGTGCATGACGGAGGAAACTCCCGTTCTAACTGATCAGTCTCTCGATGCCCTGTGACTTCAACGGTCAAGGTGGGGTGTAGGCATTGCCGGTGCTACTATAATATACTATAATATACCATAATATACTATAATATACTATAATATACTATGAGAGCTGGAGGGAATTGACTGCAGGACGTCAGGCCTTCAGTTCCAGGTTTCTTAAGGCGGGGTCGAGTCTCCGATCGGTGCTCCATGGGATCGACAGGGTGTAAGGCTTTGGGGTGGCGGCTTGCCGGCAGTGCGTCGGCAATCACTTACCAGGATTGCATCCACCAATCGATTTCAGACTGCACGTTTCTGAGATCGATGAGGATTGGCTTCGGGAGCCCTTGCTTGTACCCTGCAGCGGCGACGTTTGAAAAGAAGCGTTGGCGCCTCCTGTGCTGCGACTCATGGTTCTGGGAGATATGGTAACCAACCAGTGAAGAAGTCAAACAGATACCAAAGAGCCCTATTAGGGGCAAGCGAACATAGCAAACAAGGTAGATTACATATATGGTAAGGTTATAGATATTAGTTGGATATTGTATAATGGTCCCAGGCCGCCCCGAACAGGTCCCCAAGAGCTGCCCCTCGGAGCCAGTCCTTCATCTTCATCAGGCGCATCCTCAAGCAATTACCCAGTGCAGCCAAGGTTGGGACTTTCGCTTATTGGATTGGCTGTCCACGAATACCATGCCACGGTTGACCCACTTGCATTGTTTATCCGACAGGTATAGCAAATCCCCAAAACCAACCGTGATTTCATCAATGGCAAAAGCTGTCTAAGTCCGGGTCCTTGTTTCCCTGGGAACCCCTCACTTGGTCTCAGCGATAAACTGCCACATACACTTCGCCGCATACGTCCGGCCAAGGATCGGCGTGATGGAGAGAAGCTGCTTCGGTTCCTTCGCCTTCAACTGAAGATGAAGCGTATCACCTGGGCCAGGTCACATTTTAACTCCTGTGGTGCATGCTCCAATTCTAGAAATCACCTCGCCCTGAAAAAACGACACAGCAGAGGATGATCTTTGCTCTCCCGGCACCGGCCGCGCTTTGAGTTTTGGTCTTGACAGCCCAAGCACGCGTACAACCCTATGCTGTGATGGTCGCTCCGGCAAAGTCGCCCACAGCTCGAGCACAACGGCTCCCAAAACCCAGCCTTGATCTTCACAGAAACCCAATCTCCCGAACTCGTCCAGTCTGAGCCCTTTTGCAGTAGGACCGGGGCCCCTGCCCATAAAGCAAAGGCCCAGTGCATTCTTCGAAGTACTGGCCAGTACACACCTCCGACTGCCAGGAGGGCTCCCAGGGGGTGGTCTCTGCATTTTGATTACATGCCTTTCATGCTACAAATGGAAATGGCTATGACTGTTGTAGATTCTACGACGACGACTGCTGCTACGACGACGTCGACAATGCAGTACTCTTACTATCTGTGGTGCTACTAGTGCTTGTACGTCATCGTTTGGCAGCTTGCAAAGGTACATCAGTATGATGATGCGGGACTTAACGAAGCTGTAGCTAATCTGGAAGCATTTTTAACTCTCAGGTAGGAGCCCTAGAAGCATGCAGTGCTCAAGCAATGCCACCCATCGCACAAAGCCATGCCAGGACATCAGGTAATCGTCATAAAAAATTCTTGTCACGAGTTCAGCTCTGATTTCTGTCCAACCGTCAGGAGCTGAACACTGAACAAGACAATAACAAAACCACACGTGCTCAAACCAGCTGCTCAAGAACACATGCAAACTGCCGAAAGCAAGGGCGGCAAGGAAGGGTCAATAAGTTACGACCGTCGGTTCAAAGTGCCTGAATATCAAACCGAGGTGCGAGTGCGTGGCAAAAGAGATGACGTGGCCTCCTTCGGAACGTTGCTACTCACTGCTACTCAGACTCTGAGACATTATGGACGAACCGCAAATGTAGACTCTGAGGCCATCGGTGTAGTAGCAGCTTTCTCAGTTCACTGTCTGCTGGCACCACCCGGGGTTCCTACCCAACGAACGGGATTGAGCAATGTCCATGGCAAATAGCAATTGAAACCACAAGCCCTGTACAGTGGTTGCCAGACATGTTCTCAGGTGGGGATCTTCTCCGACTACATTGGAAGGCCTCTGGTGCGGTACAGTATCCTGCGGAACCTTTCAATGGATGCTCTGCTCAGCAGCGCCTGCAGCACTCTTTTTTCTTAAGTCTTAGCCATCGGAAGCGTAACGCAGTGTCAGAGGGCTGTTCCGTGTTCAAGCTCTCTGTCGGTGTGCTTCGCCATTTATGTGGTTGGAATGTAGGAAGCATGGTTTGGGGCTTTGGGTTGAGGGTCCTATGTCTCAATGTGATACCAACCCAAGAGACAGCCGAGCTTTGCAAGAGGAGGCTTGCCATCCGCGGCAAAACGGAATACAGGCCGTGCCTCTCGCAAGGTCTTGGAGCCCTGAAACAGTGGCAGTATAGACACGACTGCCAAAAAGCTTTGGTCTTGGCTGCCGTGCATCCACCTACAACTTCGTGCATCGCAGCACGAAGCCGGGATTTTGCACAACCCGAAACGAAACCTTTCATGTCTTCTGACCCATGCCCTCAGTACGACACGGCGAACTGCTGGCCAGGTCCAATGCCCAGTGGTACTGATACCTGCACACCAGACACGTCAAGCTCGGTATTCAAGGGGCTTAAACTCTGGATCAGGCACAAGGGGGCGAGTGGGGGCTCACGACAGTGACGCCTTCTCGGTCGATGAAGCTAATGATGATGACGCTATGGGACACAGAAAAAACGACGGAGATGCCATGACAAAGGCAAGGGCTGAAGGTGTGCTGACAAAGGCCCTGGTACTGTAGCGATGATGGCGATGATAACAAATCTAGCGGCAACAGTCGCTAAACGAATGAAGCGATCAGCGAAGTTATCATTGTGACCACTCCAAGTCTTGCAAGCAGCTATGGCACAAGTCGTCGCCACTTGCCTGAACATCGAAGCCATCGGGGCTGGTCACCTTGAGGGTGTCCCCCGGACTCACCTGAGCTGTAAGGCTGTAAGGACATCTTGTGCAGCAGTGCGTCTGACAGTAAACCGACGAGTCTTGATGCAAACTGGCCCTAAGCGGTACGAGTACGACCCTAGAGACCCTTAACCAATTCTCAAGCCCGCCCACAAGTGTAAGCATGAGGCGTTCGGTGGGCACTGCACCATAAATTGCCGGGCGTTGTTTGCCTGCACTTGCAAAGAAAGGTTAGGGGCATAACGTAGACATGCACACAATTGACCGTGCTGACAATCACAGCACCATGAGGGAGCGACTTGGAAGCATTTATGGCATTGACCCCAAGAGAAAGATGACGCCGCGGTGGCCCGGGAGCCACACTCACTGAACAAACGAGGGCAAGAGGTACTAGTCTGAGGGATTAACGTCTGTTGCTAGCTTCACCAGCATGGTGGCTATGATGGCTCTCGCCGGGTGAAGGTTGAAGCCCGTTGGAAGGGATTCAAGACACTTTGACACTTTGCCTTCAGCTCTGCCGTAACGCCTCTCCAGACATGACACCTCTGAGGAGTATATCCCAAGGTTCCGACACCTCAACAGTAACCTTCCGGCGCCTGGTTTAACCTGCTTAACCTACCCGGCCCGGTCCAGAGCCGGAACAAGTGCTTGAGTTTATGCTGCCAGGCGTCCACCTAGCCTTGCAAAAATGTACACATGCGGCTTTTAGTTGGGCTAGTATGCTTCCTCCATCTGTGCTCCACGCCGGTCTATCGCGACGAAACCTACAGTCGGACCCTTAAAGTCGTAAAACCGAAACCCCAAACCCTAAACCCCTCTATGACCCTAAACTCTAAACTTTAAACCCTAGAACCTAGACCCTAACCACTGAACCCGCTCAGCTCTTTGTCTTTTTCTTCCTCTTCTCTCAGCACGCGTTGGACGCTGCGAATCCGCGTCACGAGTCCATGGCAGGCCTGGAGCACACTGATTTAGGGTTTAGTGTTTAGGATTGAGGTTTATAGGGTTTAGGGTCTCTGTAATGGGTTCCTTTAAATTGAAAGGGTTCTGAAACAGTTCTATATAAGGGCTGTTGCTTACTGGGGGTTAGGCGTCTTGTATTCGGGCCTCGTTTGGGATTTAGGGGTAGTCTTGTAAAGTCTAGGCCTTGATGCAGTTTTCAACATGTACGGCTTTGGGTTTAGGCCTTGAGGTTTTCCTAGGCTCTTTTTGGTAACACCTTTGTACTCCAACCCATTCTTAGAATGCCCCGTTTCGGGTAAGGCTGCTCTCAGCTTATCCCAACGACTCCCAAGCCCTACACCGATGGCTGCACACCCTCCGCGCTTGGAAACCCAACGATCTGACCCATCACGCCCTGCATTCCCCAACTCCTCCACATGCTTCGGTTCTATCGGTGGAGACCCAGCGAGTTGACTCTTCTGCGCTTCAGGGCAGTACTTAAGGCTTATCGGCTTTGGATTTTGGGGTCTATAGTCACGATAGTCTATGGCTAAGGGCGCCAGGACTCGGAAGACAAAGTGTAGGTGTAGCCGTTGCAGCCTAACGAGCTTCTTCCACTCTAACGAAGCTGTACGGACATGTCTTCAAGTTACAAGCATTTACTCGGAGGGTGGAGGGACTTATGGTGGTGGGAGGTAGGGCCATGAAGTCTAAGTAGGACAGGTTCCAGCTCGACTGGCTCTATAGATAAATCTAGACAGCTAGTTAGACAGATAGAAAGATGGATAGGTCGGGACCTCGGGTGTAGAGCTTTCCGGTTGAGACGCTCTATAGATGTGCCAAATACTTTTTGCACATCAATGTTTCGGGACTTGGAGGCCTGATCACGAGTTCAACGGTTTAGGGCTTTTTCTTTCGGTTTGCTGGGCTCACAGGAAACTTTGTCGCAGCTTGTGGGACAAGAAGCAAAGTGCGGCAACTCGCCAAACTCATTGCCCATGATGTAGGTGCGGTAATACCTTCCCACCCGTCGGGATCAGTGTTCTGGAGGATACTTCACTCTACCCAAAAATTAAACAAGGGCTTTGTAGGGTACTGGGGAAAGGATAAGGGAAGTAATACAGGGCCTGCTAGGAGCTGTCAGACCTCTTTATTGGTCCCCCCAAACTCTTGAGAACCAGGCATAAAATCTCACTTTCACATTGCCCAAACCCCAAACCTTCCTGCCCAAATGCTGATAGGTGCTGTCTTACCACTCTGCCCGTCTTGTTGACATGCACCGTAGAAGCACAGTAACGAAAGCTCAAGAACCAAAACTGTTTCGGCTACGCGTCGAAACACAAAGTTTGAAATTGAATGAATGACCTCGCAAAGTGCACAAAATGATGTAGGGTTTTCAGTGTTCCTTAGTCTTAAAGTTTACTCTTGAAATGACCCGCCAAACCCTTGGCCCCAAGTAATTGTAACGAACCGTATACCAAAAATATCCGAAACATCAAGGCTTAAGGCGAGAAGCAGTAGTCCGAGCCCAAACTCCCGCTGAAGACTGCCCAACTTTAAGTATATGTACACCGCAATTTATAATCTTCTATGTCTGCTATACTTAATTAAAGCTATACGAAGCTACACTATACTATACTCTACTCTACCCCACCTATACCTATACCTCTACCTATACCTCTAGCTGTACCTGTACCTATACCATATTATAAACATACTGAACTACTATCTGCAGAGCCAAAAGTTTGGGGTTTAGAGTTTAGGCACCTCCCACTAGCTGAACCCAAAAACATGAATGTCCCCACTATGGCACTCGCCGGGAAATCAAAGTTCGGGGTTTAACGGGGTTTTGATGGGTTTCGGGCCGAGAATTTGAAAGCTTTGCTCCGTCGCCTTGCAGGGACAACGTAGAGAACACACCCGAAGCTCCAAATCAAGGGACTCGCTCTAGTCTGGCTTTCAAAATCAGATTTGGCAAGTTCCGGGTTTGGGGTTCTGGATGAAGATTTTGGGGTCTCACCTGTGGGGCTTCAGAGCTAGGTAGGATTTCCACTCGGTCACTTCGCGAGATCTTCCTCGTTGCCACGCTGGCAAAGTGCGCGGTGAGCCAAGTGAGCCTTGCGCTTGAGATATGTTTAGGACAGTCTTGGAGGTTCTTGTACGTACTATAGTAGTACCATAGAGGTACCAAGGAAGCTTAAAGAATTGTGGTAGTAATTTCTGAAGCTTATATGCTTAGCGTTGTAGGGTTTAGGAGGATCTAGGGTCCAGGCTCGAGGGGCTTTAAGGTGGCTTTGATTATGACCAAGCGGATCAGGGCTTGGGGCTTTAGGGTTTAGAGTTGTTTAGAGCTTTTAGGGCTTAGGGTTTAGGGTAAAACTGAAGGACCGCACCAAAGCATCGGAATCAAAAAGACGTGACGGAATGCCGCTTCAACTTCCCAATTTCACGAGAACGATGCTATCAACAACTGAAACTGTCAGCTGACAAAAGTGGTGAATCGCACCGGTGCGACACTGCCGTGCCTTTGTCGGGGTGTTTTGAGAGGGAATTCCTTCCCCGACCACAATCCAATGCTCATCTGGGTCTTCAAACCGCTTGAAGTCGCTAACACTGTCCGGCCCCTCTCCCACTCCAATCGGGGACTTGGAATGTTCCGAAGTTGAGTTGGCCATCTAGCTAGGTCAGGTCCAGTGCTGTGAATATTTTGGGGTGCGACCCACTGTGCCCCCTCAACAATCGTTGTCCTACCACGAGTCATGCTCCCACCGCAGTGTTGTGCATGTTCTCGGGCGCAGTGAATAGAAGGTGTGATGAGCAACTTGGACTCTTGGGGTAGCCCTGGAAGCTTCATGCGTATCCTGGGTTGGACTGCTAGCTGCTCTTTCAGTGTCCATGGAGTCTACGATGACACGTTGGGGCGACTGAGGGGGGGAGGAGTTTCTTTCGAAGGCGCTACAAACCCACCATAAGGGTGGTTGCCAGTCAAATAAATTATGCTCCCTTTTTGGATACCCGAAGTATTAGGTGCCGTGTTAAATTAAGGACACCAAAAAAGGGACCATAATTTGGACAACCGCCCATAAACAACCGCGAACTCGAAATCAAAGGCTGCAGAGTCTGCGGAAACCAGAGCTCTTGGGGCAGCCAGCGAGCGCGCATGGACTTGATGCCCTTGCGCTCGATAGAGAAGCCGCCATCCTGCAAGACTTCGGAACCTCCCAAGTCTAAACCCAAGTACGGGGAACTCAACCGTTGGAACAGGTTCTGGGATCTCGGGGCTACAAAGGGAGAGTAGTACTAATCATTTGGACCTCTTTATCAATGAAACTGCACAATCAAGGGCACTCATTTTTGGAAGGTCAAGGCTCGTTATCAAGTGCGTCAGCCGAGATTATGGCACAACTGCCCACAGATATTTAGTAAGTGTAGATGCTAGGCCGACGCTAGAGAGATTACTATCTCTGGCTGCAAGATCCTGCGCCGTGGCCCATCCTCTTTAACTTCGTTCATCAAACATCTTATGTCGTCAGCCTGCGTTCCCATGTTCGGACAACCTCCAATCACCAGAGTCAGCTTCGGATTGAGTCAGGCCCTTGATCTTGGAACATAGAGACATAGACCTGGAACCATGAGGTAAACATCCAAGGCCACAAACGCATGCATCGCTTAAAGTCCTTAGTCCATCCTGAAGTCCCCAAAACCCCAAACTCACCCAATTAAACCTAAGCCCTTGGCCCCCAGCGATTTAGCTTTTCAGCCTCGGTTCCATGTCCGCTCGCAAGGATCTCGTACTTCCTTCGCCATGACTTGTAGCCTTACACTGCTTGCAAAGCAAGACATACTACTATTACGATTGCTACCGCTGCTGCTACTGCTGCTGCTCCTGCTGCTCCTACTCCTCCCAGCCCTATAGTAGTACTACGACCAGCACCACCACAACCACCACCACCACCACCACCACCACCACCACCACCCCCACCACCACCACCACCACCACCAGCACCATTCCAAGTCCTCTTCACATTCCGCTTCAAGGGTGGGGTGAGGAAACATCTTTCTTTCACGCAGACTCTTTGGGTTCAGGGATCGGGTCAGCCACGTGGCCACAGTTCGCGTAGTGCAGGATCACCGGAGCACCATAACCCGTGCATCGTTGGCTGCGCAGCCTACCACGCTTCAAGGCTGCTGTGTGAAGCTGCAGCTCAAACCGTAAGTAAACCCGCGCAAACCCTGTATGCTTCAGAAGAGCCCCGAAGCCAACTTGAGGGCTAAGGGCAACAAGCTCGACGAAGCGTCAACTTCGAGAAAACCTGATTCAGAAGTCAAAGTTGGACCCTAGGCTCGGAGATTCGAACTCTTTTCCGGCCGGAAAAAAAAGCTTGACGTGGCGCACGGTTGCAACTCTGCAAGACACCAAATCCTCAACCCCTAAATTACCCTGGACCTGACGAAACCGCTTATCCTGAACAGTGAGGCTTCGGCCCCACAGGACATGAAGACAAGTCAAACAGACAGATCAAGTGCATGGATGCTTCGCAACTTATCTACGAAGGATGGGAGCAGCGGGAGGAACTTCGGGAAACAAGACCCCTGAGCGACAAACTCACTGCCTCTCGTTGCTATCTGATCCGAATCGATGCACGCCCACCGGCAGAGGCGGTGGAGATCTCAAGCGGCATGCAGCCTGAGAACGTGTGTCCCGTACACCCCACAACTTTCGGAAGCTCCCATGCTGAGGCCTTTCTGCGAAGCTGGCAGATCAGGTTTACATCGAGCTTCTTGAGCTTCGTGGTAGTGGCTCCACCGTGCCGGGACTCTACCGGGAGCATTCAGATCTGCTGAGGCAAGGCCCGCCTTCCCATTACCATAGGCCACGAAGTAGCAGGGCAAGTCCTCGAACCTTTCCGCGTCAGACGCATGGGAGGATTCGTGGCTTCTGACACTTGTTCTCTGCGCACGAGGACGATGCAGTACAGCCTGCGCTTCAGTCCTGTCTGCGCTCAAAGCTGGGCTGGGCCGCTGCGGGGGAACAGCTGACAGCTGTAGCCCTGCCAACAACATGTGGCTAGCTGGAGGATATGCCGTCTAATTCGTCTTGCAAGGTCTCCCCTAATCCCTAATATCTAAATCCTAAAACTTCTTCACATCAAGCCGGGGTCCACTGGCTTCAATCAACCACAAGCCCTAAACCTCCTAAACCCTACGTGAAGTAACCCTGAACCCTCACACTCAAAACCCTCAAATTCTAAAGTAGCTCAGCCCTTGTAGCTTGGAGGTCTTATTCTGCCGAGAAGCTCGGCCTTCCTTGCTCCCCGACTCGGCTCCTCTCAAGGAAATTGAACAAAAAAACACATGATGACGATATTTACAGCAACAACAGTAATAGTAACAAAACACAAATGACCCTACACAAAAAAACTACTATTGAAAACGATGTGCTAATAGTAAAAACAATAATACTGATAATACTCATGCCCATACAGATACTCATACTCGTACGCATACTAATGCTAGTACCAGTACTCGTACACATACTAAGTTACTAATATTGCTACTAACACTAATGCCATGACTAATGCTAGTTCTGGTGCGAATACTAATCCTAATTCTCGTACGAATACTAATACCAATACTCATACTAATTATATACTAATATTGGAAAGACGGTTGATAAGACACCAAGGTGACTTATGAACTGAATAAAAGGCAAATAAAAGGCAAGTAAAAGGTATATAAAAGCTGAACCCTAGGATGAGGTAAAGGTAAATAAAGGCTAAATAAAAGCTAATGCAGGGAATTTTCCTTTTCAGTCGCCTTTTCTCCAGCTTTGCAGCCCCTCTTGAGTTGGCTTTTTTCCAGCTTTTTCTTCACCTTTTTGTTTTTTTTTGTTGGGGTGGGGGGGGGGGCGGGGGGTGGGGTGAGGGGAAAACTAGCTTTTCCCTAGGGAAAAGCTAAAAACAAGCTAAACAAAAGCTAAACAGCATTATTCATATCATTTATCTAGCTTTTTGCCAGCTTGTTTTAGGTTTTTTGGCTTTTTTATAGCTTTGCATTTAGCTCTTTCTTTTAGCTTTTGCCTAGCTTTATTTTGCCTTTTATTCTCCTTTTTTTCAAAACAAGGATCCCAGGACCTCTAAGGGAACCTACGTTCCAATACTAATACTAACGCCAATACGCCAATACTGACACCCACACTAACCCACACTATATACGAATAAAGATACCACTACGAATGCAAATAGGAAACTAATACTATTGCTACTAGCACACAAATACTCCGAATAATGCTCATACTAATGCTCACGCTTGTACTCATACTAAGACTCCTACTATTATAAAGCTTTTGTTAATACGAATACTATTCGTGCTAATGCTCATAATAAGACTAAATGATACTAGTAACATTGAACACTAGTAGTGTCAATTGAAAGCCCTTATCAAATATCTGAATATACTAAGAACACTAAGAATTCATTCTTTCTCGCGCAGCACTCCGTGGGCCCGGCAAGGTCGAGACTTACTTTGCCCGCTGTATCGAAACTCGATCTCTCACGTGCACGAGGCTGTTGACAGGGTACTTGCCACATGTCTCCTTATCCTGCGATGTTTGAGGCAGCTGTGAGGCAGGGTTTATTGGAGGCAAAACCGAGGAGCGACGAATGAATGAATCATGGTTTAAGCAGTAGTTCACACCTAGATACAGGCCCTGGAATGCTTGTATTTCACGCTTCCGCATTCTTTCGGAGCTTCCCAAACATGATCCCCAAATTGCTCCTAAACCCCACACCCGACTCCCTTGTATTCCCTAATCTCCGAACACATCTCCTCGTCGGAGTCGAAAGGCTCTTCATCTCCCTCCTCCACCGGGGGCAGCACGATGCGGAGCTCTTGAACGGCCTTTCGCCTGGCGATCCTCAATGTGCAAGATCAAGCATTTATGTCCACGATGTAGCATTTCTCAAGTTTCGGGCATAAGGCTTTCTTCCTTGCCACAAAGAGCCTGAGGGAGTTTTAGCTGTGGTTCCTAGCCGTTTCTTGTGCCATTGGTATTGCTGTAGGAGTTGCCGTTTGCAAACACCACTTAAGACTTCTGTTGCTGCCTCCCGGATCCTGTTTGTGTGAAGCAATGGACTTGGGTACGGCTTGCACGTGTATGAACCGAAAGAGCATGGCATCCTCCCTCTCTGATGCAAAGTCTGCAGCCTTCTCACCACTCCTCCCCTAGCTATGGCAACTGCTACTACCTGCAAACCCTAAACCCTAAACCCTACACCCTAAACCGTGGCGACGAGGTCCCAAGTTCTACCTTCCATAAGCACCCAGTCCGAAATCCTCAACCCTGAAGCAGCCACTTCAATCCTGAGCCCGCTTGCAACTGGCCTGCAACGACTCCGCCAGGTTCAGGCAGGGAAATCCGAGCCCCAAACCCAACATCCTATACTGGGTTCTTGTTAAGGGATTTTGTTTAAGATACCATGATAGGGATCTATAGCAAAAACTAATATGGTTTCCTTTTTACGGTAACTTAAACTAAAATCTCTTAACAAGAACTCAGTATATAAACCCTGAAGTTTCTTTCTCGGTACTTCGACCCCTGACAGACTGGTAATGTCAGCTTTGCGGCCGCACCGGCAGCAGCGCGCTGTCGAAGCTTCGGTTCGTTCCTTACACCGAGACGTTTGAGCGTAGAGTCTCGGAAACCGGGGGTTTAGGGTTGAGGGCTTCGGAATAGAAGGGACACTTGTCATATGAGCCCCAGATTTTGGGCTCCTGAAGACCACTGTCTAGATACGCTAGCCTGAGATTCTTTCGGCTAGGTTGGTCCCTGGCGGCATGCTGCATCACTTCACCTATCATGATTTTGGACCCCGCACCAAGTTTCGAATGTCCTCTGGGTCCGTTCCTTTGGCGATCTGGCGCTGCCTCCACCTCCTGAGCAAGCAAGACCAATGTATGCCTGGGGCTCAGCACATTGCAGAGAGGGGTTGAAACTTATGCCGCCCTGGCCACACTTGTTCGTTTGTTTAGAACGATTTTCGAACGAGACTTGATGCTTCACTGCCTTTCGGTTGCCAGGCTGCTACTCGGACCTAGAGGTCTGATGCCAAGAGGTCCAAGATATGCCGCGAAAGCTGGACCCACAAAGCCCTCAACCCGTGAACCCGATCCAGGCAGGTGATAGGCAACACACTTGCCGCGACAGCTCGCTGGCCAGAAGGTCTGCTGATTGAAGAAGCACTTCACTTATCTTGATGTGTCGCATGTTGCTGCGTAAAGGCCAGATCGCTCGGGAAGTTTGCGGCTAAACCCGATTTTTGAACCCAGGCTCTGCCGATCAGTTGGGAAGCAGTATAAACCCTAGGCCCTGAACCCTTAAACCCGAAACCCACACCCTGAATCATGCAAGCCCAGTAGCTCCAGCTTCTCGAGATACTTCTTGCTGCTTGAGGCATCCGTGGTGTCCCGAAGAAGATTTTGGTGCAGTTTGAAAAGGCTCACATCCTTGAACCAGTCGTCCTTGCAGTTCTCAGCTTGGGAATGACAAGATGGGCTCGCAGCTTACGAGGATGGATTCCACTGTGCACAATCTCTGGAGGTCCCGGCAGCTGTGTAAACATACCTGGACCCAAACCACAAACCACATTTTGCAATGGCAAACAGCCGAGCGACGATGTCGAAAGACTCGGGAACTGCCTCCAAGTTGTTGAACACCACCTTGATGGCAAAAACATCGCAGCAGAAATGGTAAGAGCATGCATGAAGCCTTCTAATGGCAGCAGCAGCAGCAGCAGCAGCAGGAATAGTCATCACAGCAGTGAGCGGAATGAGGGCTTAAGAAAAAACAACAAGCCACGTTCAAAGACCATGCATCAGAGGTGCCTGGTCCACGTCAGCCGGCAACCTGCAATTTACAACACAGGATCGCAGAGCATTGCACGCACCCCTCTCCCCCTCCCTCCCTGCTCCCGCTTTCCCCCCTCATGCCCAAATGCGACCCTGGAATTAAACAAAAAATGGAAGAATCGACTCCCAGTGACGCGTGCAGGCTAGTGGCTCGGCAAAGAAGCCTCTTGCATCTACCTGTGCAGCTCTTACAGGCTTGTGGCGAGAAGTACCTAGAGCTAGCTTACCGTTCTTAGAGCGGATACCTGATGCCAGTGGAGCTCGTTCCACAGCAGGCAACACGATCATGATCACCGCATCAGCATCATCCACCATTATTTGCCGGCAGCAGCGGTGGCGGCAGCTGAGCAGCAGCAGCAGCAGCAACAACATCAGCATCAGTGTTTGCATGATGACCACAAGAACAGCATTAGGCTTGCCAGCAGCAGCCAGGACACGTGCTTTGGCAGGTACAGCGCTTCGTCCGAGTCAATGTGGAGCAGCCAATCCTGGGCTTTGTGCAGAGGATTTGCAACCCTATGCCCTATGTGCACAGGCAAAGCTCGTCAAGGCCCACAGGCGCCAGTGACGTCTCAAAAGATCCTAGCGTCGTAGCCCCGTCTCTGCGCTTCACGGGCGGCCGCATCGACCGCCAAGCACTGTCGACTTTGGACATCATGGACGGACTCGAAGAGCCTTAACCAGGAGGGAGAGAGAGAGAGAGAGAGAGATGCAAACTACACTACACTATACTATGCTATGCTATACTATGCTATACTATGACAGAGCTATGCTATGCTAATGCTATACTTTACCATACTTCGCCATACTGCACCACACGGTACTGTGCCGTACTGCAATATGCTGTACTATACTATACTGTGCCGTAGTTACTGTACTGGCTGACATAGTCTATCATAATAGGATCCATGAGCAATCTTTGTTGTCTCACATTCCCATATGCAACCAGGCTCGAAGTATCGCATAGAGGAGTGTAGTACAGTATTGTGGTACCTAATGTACCTAGAAGGCAATGCAGCAAAGTATTCCCGCCTCGCTCCATCCCCAAGCTCCTCACACCATAATGTCTGAGAATTCTTAGCGCATGTTCCAGACTCTCCTCCTCGGGTTCGAAATCTCAGACCTGCACAATTTTAGGTTTGGGGTTTAGGGCTTTCAGGGTTTAAAACCTAAGCCCTAAACCCCTATAAACCCTAAACCCTAAAATAGTGGTGCATCTTGGGCACTGCATCGTCTCTTCGCAAAAAGCCTTGGAAGGCTCCGTGGGGCTAGCTTGCAGCATCCCAAAAATCACCATTCGGTCGAACACTTCCTTTGGTTTTCCTTTGCAGCAGAACACCCCCTCCACTTATTTTGAAGCCTCCGATGTAGCAGTTGGAAAAAGTGACCAGCACTCAAGGGGCAGCTTCGCGACGAAGTAATCTCCGAATAGCACTTCGAGTCCTAGAGTTTGTTTTTTTTTTTAGGGTTTGGGGCTTTTGAAGGGCTCTCAATGTTCCCCATCTGCAGGGAACTAGGATGAACCCCGATTGAAGTTTTCTGCTGACTGCAGCACCGAGTGCTTGAAGATTCAGGGCCTTGGATGAAACGGTTAAAAACCTGAAACACACAGGGGCGGGCCTTTGCTTTCAACCCCCGATCCTGCCACCTGTCCGGAAGCAAAACCTAAGACCTAAGACCTAAGGCCCAACTATAGCAGGTCTGACCCTACCAAACACTGCCCATGAAACCGAAGTCCTATCTGAATGGGGAGTTCTTGAGGTTTGTGTCGTACTTTAAGTAAAGATACTCACGGGCCCGACTATCTCTGAATTTCCAATAGATTTTTACGCCAAGCCCAAGGAACCCCTCATGTCATGTCAACAACATGCCGAAGTCCCTAAAGCCAAAAACCCTAACCCTAAAACCCTAAACCCTACACCTACAAAGCCCTCAACCCTAAAGTCCCTAAAGCCAAAAACCCCTCATGGCTAAAACCCTAAACCCTACACCTACAAAGCCCTCAACCCTAAAGTCCCTAAAGCCAAAAACCCTCATGTCCTAAACCCTAAACCCTCAACCCTAAAGCCAAGAACCCTCCTGTCGAATCTGGAGGCCAGGCCGCACTCTCGCGCCGGCGCAGAGCGAAGCGAGAACTGCTCAGCTCTGATCGCCACCAATCCTTTCGGGATTAGGGTTTAGGGTTTATAGGGGTTTTTCCCTCTCGCATGACTGAGGAACTATGCCCGTTTATAGAGGATTAGGGTTTAGGGTTTTAGGGTTTAGGGTTTAGGATTTAGGGTTTAGGGATTAGGGTTTTTTTCCCTCCCACTTGGCAAGGACGAGATCGCATTGCAGGGCTTAGGGTTTAGGGTTTAGGGATTAGTTCAGGGTTTCCTGTCCGGCAGTTAAACCCTAAACCCTCAATACGTCTTCTCTGGCAGTTGGTCTTGAGAGTCGCGCAACTCGCACGAGGTAGGGTTTTGGGGCTGCGCGGGTCTAGGGTTTCAGCGTGTAGGGCTTGGAGGGCTCTAGGGCTGCAGGATTTCGGGATAAGCTTTTACGTGGCTGGGGCAGTAAACTAGTGGCTGAACACCTTCGGTTGGTGGATGGAGGTCTCGATGCGTCTTGTCGAGGCTTCCCGGATTGAACCGCGCATTCAGATTGACAGCTATGAAAGCATACTTCCAGGTACTTCCAGGCCATGCTTTTGTTGCAGAACTGCTGTAGAGTTGAGGGCTTAGGGCCAGACCTACAAGCAGAAGTTTGAAGGGCTCTTGGGAATTAGGACATTACCGGTGTTCGTTTTCGTGTCTCCAATCATTAATCTAAATCTGTATCTATATCAATGTATAAAAATATCTCTATGCCTATCTCTCTCTGTACATATATATATATATGTATAATATATATATATACATATACATAGGTATAGGGTCAATGGCCGAGAAGGCGGAAATGCTAGCCGCAGGCTCCACATTCAGCAGAATAAGTTCCTAGCTCCATCGCGTCCTCCGTGCACAGGTGGACGACAATGCCACCTCCAAAATGTCAGCTACAAGCATGGCCATTGTAACGACAGTTTGTACACATTAACAGTCTGATACTCTTGTTCCTCATTTGGATTACTATGACTATTGTTACTATGATGATGAGCATTCATTGAACGTCACATCATAAAACAAGCAAGCACAGTCGGCATGACATACGCACATGCATACAGACATACAAGCAGACACACACACACACATACAGACAGAAAGACAGACACAGGCAGACAGGCAAACAAACAGATAGACAGACACATGCTCACGCACGCATAAACCCCACACATATGTACACAAACATACGGGCATACGTAATTACATACCTACCTACATACCTACGTGCCTACCTACTTGCTACTTGCGTACCTACTTACCTAATTACCTGCCCAGCAGACCTACCAGACTAGCTACCGAGCTACCTAGCTACCTGCCTCCTGCCTACCTGCCACCTGCCTACCTGCCGACCTACCTACCTACCTACCTACCCACCTACCCAAGTACCCACCTACGACCTACCCACCTACCGACCTACCGACCTACCAATCCACCGACCTACCGACCTGCCTACCTACCTACCTACCTACCTACCTACCTACCCACCGACCTCTTACTTGCCTACTGACCTACATACCGACATACATACGTACAGATACATTACATTGCACTACATTACATTACATTATATTTAATACATTACACTACACTACACTACAGTACATTTCATTACGTTACACTATGTCATCACGCTACAGTACATACGTACATGCATACATACAAACATGCAATATCGACATCCATCCGTATATCCTATCCATGAATGCATGCAGGCATGCATGCTTGGATATTTCAACACATTCACCTACAAACATACATGCACTGACCTACAAGCCCCTGCATGCCTCGGGCTGCCGCTAAAGCTTGGGCCGTGGCCACCACCTCCCGCCTCAGGTCTGTTAGGATTTGGGCTGAAGGGCACGCGTGTGAAGTGCATTTCGTCGGGGGTTCAGGGCTTCATGCCTTGGCGATGTTACAATATTGTCTGAGCAGCTCTCAATCTCGTGGACGGCCCGTCGTGCTAACGTAGACGCGGTAATGGCATGGGTCAGGGCTGATCGGGACCATGAAAGCTAGGACAACGAGGGTGTGGATCATAAATCAATTCCGCCGGGAAGATGCGCAGGATGACGACGCTGATGCTGATGATGCTGGTGATTCGGGTGGCCATGGCGACAACTGTACAGCTAAATATGACCAAAGCGACGAGCGACATCGACTACGACCGTTTGTTGAACGAGGAGGATAGGGAGTAAAGAGGACAAGCAGCCGACGGGGCTGACGGTGGAGCATCAGGCAGAACGTACCCGAAGAAATCGCTGGGAGGTTTGGACGATGTCTATACTATGAACAAATGCACTCCTGATTTCAGGATGTATGTATGCATGTATGTATGTAAACCTATGTATCCATGTATCTACCCATACAATGCAAACAAGTAAATATCAACAAGTATAAGTATATACATAAGCTTTACAAGCACAAAGAAAGAGTATAAACATACATACGCATATACATATATTTATATATGTCTCTATTGTTTTGTTTACTAGTCATATACATGTAAAGGCTCCAAAGTCTCAGTGGCCACATCAAGATGTTTTGTTGAGCACGGGGTGTAGATTGGTGTCGGCCAACCATTGTTCAAGTGGCCACAATTGACAGCGGTATGAAGAATAAAAGGTGCCCTAGAATTCATCACCACGGAAACTTTGGTTGAATTCTAAGAAGAGCCCGCTACATGCTGCAGCGTCCGACACCTGGACTAGATATACACTAGACACAACAGAGACAATAATGCAGGGGAGCTAATAATAGAAATAACTACAATAAGACAAAAGCAAATTTTACTTAACATAACATCTGGTTTTGGCGTATTTTACCTTAGAGTTATAAGAAGGAGCTTCAAGGACAAGTA